TTAGGATTAGCTAGCTGCTGCTTGGTTTGCTGCAGCAAGGTAAGCACTCCAGGTGATTGCCACATGCCTCCAGAGAGGAGCCTACAATCGCGTCTTAATTTTAACCTCACTGAAGTTCAGCCATGATACCCACCCTGACCATCAGTGCAGTAACTGCTTCACTAATCCTACTGCAGAGGGAGGAAAACACAAGCCTTACGGTTTTGACCGCACTGGGAGAGAAACACGTGGTTTGGGCAAACCAAAAGCCAAACAGATTTTTAAAAAATTGCATTGAAAGCATATTATTTATTGTGTTCCCAGAGCAAACCCTAAGGGCAGGCAAAGATGTAGTACATTTGAGAGGGCAGAAGGGAAACCACTTTCCAGGTATGCAAAGAAAATGAGAGGGAGATCAGTGATGGCTGGCACAAGGCAGGAGACTATTCATTTCTCCAGGAGACCGCTCAGTGCCAGAGCCACAGGCCACCCTGGTAGGGCCTGCCAGGCCAGGCGTCCTTGAGGACATCATGCCGAAACATGCATGATCCCCCCCATCCCCAGCCAACCGTCCCAGCTCTCTGTCATAGGTCACCCCAGAGGGATGCCAGAGCCAGTGTGTGTCCATTGGACTGCAAATTCTCCCTGGGTTTAAGCTCAGGCTTAATGCTAGTGTGCTGCTCATGCAGCCAAAACCCTAGAATAGCAACAGTTTTGACTCACGGGGTCATTTTTTCCCCTGGCTCACTTCCCTGCCATGCAAGCACTGGGAGGGCACAGTGAGGAGTGGGAATCACCTCTTTCTACAGCCACCACCGCACTGGTGGGCTCATGCAAGTCATGACATGGCAGCCTTGCTTGCTTCAAGCAGAACCCCCCCCCAGCTGAGTTTGAAGCACCCTTGGAGGCAGCAGGAAATGAGCACCGGGCTTTGTGCTGCCAGAGCTGGGAGATGCTTGCAGACCCCCTGCCTCCGACGCTGCAGCAGCTGCTTGCTGCCCATGACAGGGCTCTCAGGTGCTGCTGCATCCTTTGCTTTCTGACAGAGCTGCAGCATCGAGATGGCTCCAGGCATTGACATGCCACGTACAGCTCGAACCCCATGGAAATGCTTCAGCTGCAGTTCAGCTTTCACTATGAATAAGGCTCCCGTGTGTCACTCAGCATCTTCCAGGCATAAGCACGTGCATATCATCCTGCCCAGTGCCTGGGGGACTTCCACCCCCTTCCACCTGGCTTGGAGGAAGCCCCTGAGTGGCTGTGCACACACAAGCCCCCTGAAGCCACTCACCCAGGATACCTGCCCACCACCAAGCCTCCAACTGCCTCCATATCTCTGGGCAGTCACAAATTCACCTGCACAATGAAGGCGAGTGCGGGGTTGGGTTAGACCTGAGAAGGCCACCCAGCCAGAGCCGAAATCATGAAACCCTTCTCAGACAAAGGCCCTGGCGGGAGAAAGAGGAGATGGTTGGGAATCTCAGGCACATGCTTCCTGATTGCAACATGCCTATAAATCACAGCACGAATGATATACTGAGCTCGGCTTAATCCCAAGCCTGATTAAGTGTTATTCCAGTTTTTCCTAACAAGTTTCCTTGCTGTTCTCTAGCATCCTTTAGGCTTTTATCAGCATCTTCTGAGATGATCAGACACAAGTATCTGCCTGTCTTTAAGGCAACACCAATCCCCCAAATACTACTCTCCCATGGTAGGTAGAGGCATGGGAGAAGATGGACTTTATCCAACTAGCCTTCCCCAAGGTCCACAGTAGAGGACAAAACTCCAGCAAGAGTCACAGAAATACTTCCCTGCTCAGCTGCTGGAGGTGAGGGAGCTGCTGCAGGATGCAGAAGGCACCCTGGATGCATGGCAGGACATGAGTCGGATACTCCAGTGGGAAAGCAGAGTAGCCTGCCTTCTGGGTGCTACTGCAGCTTCAAATAAGGAAACCCATTCGAAAAGCTTTGCTGAGTTGACCAAAAAGATGAGGAAATGTGTATGGTGAGTTAAATTAAACAGCAGAATGGAAAAAGCTGACTTACTTTGGGTCTAACAATAGCTGGAGAGACCCTTTGCCAAAGGAAGCTGAAGTTGCCAGCAACATACGTGGAAATGTCATCAGTTTCCCTAATAATGTGCACTTGCTGCAGATGATACCATTTTTGTCTATTAGTGAGAGAACAAGTGCGATCAAATACACACAAGTTTGTATTCTGCGTGCTTTGTGGGCAGCACTGCAAGAGGTTAGGCCGGAGCCAGCGACATATGGCCAGGCAACATCTCACAAAACTTGTGCTAAACAGGGCTGGGATGAAGCCACAGGAGGTCTGGGAGCAGGTGCTGGGACAAATGGGACCATGCTGGGGTCAGCAATGCTCCCGAGACCATCTCCAAAGCCTGTCTCCATTGCTCCTCTGGCTGATCAGGGAGAACCAAGAGAGAAATCAGAGAGAAAATATCCCAAGATTCAGTCACCAACCCACTGGATGAAGCATACAGCAAATTGGCCAAGGATATTCGAGGGCAATGTGTGTTGTACAATATTTTTTGTAGCAGCTGGTGTTGTCCTGCTGCAGGAGCGACTGCACCATTCCCGGGGAGCACTGGTGATGGCCAGGCCAAGTCTTGCTGATGCTAACTGCCTTCATTGGCATCACCAGAGCATCTTCACAGGGAGTACATTACACTTCTACTCATTTTTTGAATGGTTTGTGCTACCAGAGCAATGTACAATGGCCCACAGACTAAAATCAGGAGCTCTCCAGTTCCATATCGTACCCTGCTTTCCCCCCTTCTGCCGGCACTGGGGGCCAGTGCATTGACACCCCTGCTTCAGCTCTCCTGCACTGCTTGGAAGCAGAGATCAACTCATTATTCCTGCTTTGCAACCTGGAAAGGGGTGGAGAGAGGTGAAACAGCCTGACATAGTCACACAGTGATATGTAAAATACACCCCAGCCTCCAACACTGTTTCTCATCCCTCTCCCCTCCTCTCCTTGCCGAGCTACAGATCTAGACAAGAGCTGCAGGCACATTACCAGCCTGAGTCTCCATCTCCTTATGCTATCCTCTATCATGAAAAAGAGTTTTTAAATGCTACCCTTTGACATTAGATCTGTTTTACACCCCTTGGCCCATGGGTAAATAGCCAATGAGGGTGCAGGACAATGACTCCTGTTCTCCCTGCTGGTTTCCCACAGAGCTGAGCTTGCTCTGCAGGCTTTGCACACACTCCCCTGCCCCGCTCCCCAGAGCATCCCTGCCTGTGTTTCAAAGACAAAGGAAAGCAAAGTGAATCTGCCTGGTGTGGCTCCCCATGCCAGCTGTTGGGCAATGGCTTTGCATCCCAGGATGAAATTGGCTGTGCAAAGCCCGTACCACTGCCCCCCTCTGAGTCACCCTCAGGTGGGCCGTGCACCCAAGGGTCCTTTGTTAGTAAGGTGCTAAAGGGAAGTCTGCCAAGGGACGGCCAAGAAACCTGCTGGGGACAAGGAAACGTAACAGTGGGATTGGTGGTAGCTCATCTGGACACGCTGAACCTCAACAGGCACTGGTGTCACCAGGAGCCTGCAGCGACAGAGGGGATAGCGAGCATGTCCCTGACCAGACACTGAAGCCACCCAGGTCCTTCTGCAGGGCCAGAGAGCAGGCAATGGGGAGTAGCAGGGGGATGAAAGAGGAGAAACACCTTTTAGGTGGGTGCTGCAGCTTTTAGTGTATTTCTACACCCTCAGCAGCCCAAAAGCAGCTTTGTCCAAATTGCTCTCTGTGCCCCCCTAACCTGGGAGCTGACTCTCATTATTTATTGCATCTGCCCGCCTGCCATCTTTAGGACATCTGCCCTGGATTTGTCTTCCCTTCCCCCTGTTGAACTCAACAACAACCAGAAATATCCTGTAATCTCTTCTGCTTCACCTGTAATTTGTCTCATGCTGGCAATGAGCGCAACCATCTGTCTTTGTCAAGATCAAAAAAGCCACAGCAGCCATGTGATGTCAGCTTACATTAACCCCCCCCTCTCCCCTTGCTGGCTTGCCGCAGAGGGGGAGACATGTCTTTGTCCTCCTGCAGCCTTCTTCCTCCCCCTGGCATGTCTCCTGCCATTTGGAGGTGCCCTGGTTGAAGGGGCAGGGAGGGACCAGCCCCGCCAGGCAGCTGAGGGGCTCCTGGACCCTCCGCCGCACCGAGCTGGAGCCGAACCCTGGGACAAGGCAAAGAGCAAGAGATGCAGCAAGGTGGACCACAGGCCACCGAGGGCTTTACATTGCTGCACGTCATCATCCCGCCCTGACCTTGGAGCCAGAAGAGCTCAGCCTACATCTCTAACCGCAGGGCCGCTGGCACGGGCTCCTTCCTGCCTGTACCACGGGCAGGGGATTGCAGGGCCGGGCAGAGGCCAGCCAGCCAAGAGCGGCGAGGGGAAGGTGCCCAGGAAGGGGTAGGACGGTGGTCGGGGCTGCTGGAGCTGCCGCAAAACCTCACGCAGAACAAGTCAGCGCGCGAAGCCCGGCCGTAGGGTGTTCAGGCAATTCCCTTCCCTAGCCACTACATCGAGCAGCCTTTACAGCAGGGAAGTGCACCGCCCTTGTTAACGCGTGTCTGCGTAAGGGACAGCGGGATTTCACTGGAGCCTTCGGTACCGCTCAGGCTTGAGCAGACTAACGGACCCCACCTCCTGCAAGGATGCCCCGGATCCGCGACTTTGCTTCTCGGAAGCTTAGGGCTTAGGGTGGGACGAGGGCAGCGTCCCACCGCCGAGAGCCCCCGCCGCGGCTGCCCCGGGGCCGCAGGAATACCGCTGCTGCTCGGGGGCTGCCGGTACGAGAGCGGCGCTCACCGAGCGGGCGGTCGCTCCGCCACCGGGGTGGGAGGGGACACCACCCCACCCGGCACACGCCTGCGCGTGACTAAAAGCCCCGCCCACGCCCCGGCGGGCCCAATGCGCACGCGCGCACGCAGCTCCGCCCCCCCGGCTCCGCCCCCCTCCCCTGACACGCTACGTTAGCGCGACGTGTGGCGTAGCGGCGGTTTGAATCCCGGCGGGCGCGATGGCGGTGTTGCAGCCCTACGACAAGCTCCCGGCGCTCAGCTCCGCCGTCCTCCTGGTAGGTCCGGCGCTGCCGCCGCCGCCCCTTCCCTCTCCCGGGGCCCGGCCCTGCGGTAGGC